CGTGGATTAATGTGCTGAGGAAGAGGTACGCTGAACATCCACAAGCGTTCAGGAGCGAGAGGATTTGCTTCGTTGATCATCTCTTTGCTCAGCAATGGAGAGCCAGCTACAACGACTTTAAACTTACGGAGCCTGCTCCCAACTGTTAGGGAAGAAGACTCCCTGGTGGAGCGTTTAACTATTATGCAGGCAATGTACCATCATTTTGCAAGTCTAAAAAGATGTGGGGGTGGATATTGATGATATCTATGCGCTAGTGAACTAAAAGAACGAGCATTGGGTTGCTATATGGATATCGATCCCTAAGAGACAAATAGTCGTCTGGGACAGCATCGTATCTTGTATCTCCGACGAAGAACTCGAACTGGTAATGGAGCCTTTTCAGCACATGGTTCCTTATCTACTTGTTGAGTGCTCTACCACTGATGAGCTGCGTGACCAATACTCCCTGGAGCCATTCACATTTGAACGTGCAAGCAATGTGCCTCAGGCCCGATCTGGTGATTGTGGCGTCTACGCTCTAAAATACATTGAATGTCATGCTCTTGGGCTGTCATTTAATGGAAAAGACTTTTCTATGAACAGCGCCAGCGTGAAGAATATTAGGAATAAGATGGTTGTGGATATATACAATGAGCTCACTCTCCCGCATTTGTATGAAAACAAGGATAATTTTGAGGAGATCGGTGCTTATGAAGCCTGATGTTTTCATTGTATGTTTGTATATTTGTATTCGAACTTGATTAGGCTGATGTCTAGGATGCTTGTTGTATTTGTGTTTGTTTATTCGAGCTTGGTTGTATGTTGTGTTTGTTGTACAGAAAACTTTCAATTAATTCTTAAAACATACTCATAAAGCCTGGACGACTAATAATTAAGTCGTCTGGACAACTAATCTTCTGTATATTAACCTTTTAAAATTAAGTCGTCTTATAATCTTTTGGTTGTGCAATTTGACAAAGAAGTTAATACATAGACTAAACATTAGACGACTTAATTAAAGGTCGTCTGAACGACTAATCAACACTAGACGACTTAAATTTAAGTTGTCCAGAAGACTAGGTAACCATGGACGACTTAACAACACTAGACGACTTAATTATAGGTCGTCTGAACGACTAATCAACACGAGAAGACTTAATTATAGGTCATATGGACGACTAATCAACACTTGACGACTTAATTTTAAGTCGTCCAGAAGACTAGGTAATCGTGGACGACTTAACAACACTAAAAGACTTAATTATAGGTCGGCTGAACGACTAAACAACACTAGACGACTAAATTCTAGGTCGTCTGGACGACTAATCAACCGGTTTCTTACATTGTGGTTTCGTATGGCCAGTTTCCTTGCAGTTTGAGCATCTATAAACCATGTGTTGCTTCTGGGGTTTGCGTCCTTTCATCCTAGATACTTCAACCAAAATTGCCATCTTGATTTCTTCTATCTCCCCGGACCACGCTTTACCTCCGGAGGGAAGCATGTGCGTTCCTCAACTTGTTGTCCAGAAGGAAATATATTCTCTGAGTATCCTTCAAACAAATACTCATTTGGGTACACTGGATGTACAAGTGTGGATATATGCAAACCAGCAAATGTACCAGCAGCTATAGCATGAGAACAAGGTATTTTCTCCACTTGGTAGACACCACAATCACGCTTACCATGTTCTAAATCAACCACACAGACACCACAATCACGCTTTCTAGGATAAGCAAGGTTTGACCAGAAAACTCGGAAAATATTCTGGACGACTTTGATTATCCTAGACGACTTTAACATAAGTCGTCTGATCGGTCGACTTTCAATTAAGTCGTCTGGAGAAGTTAAAAATTTAAGTATTTTTGAATTGCAAAACTAACCTAAGACGACTTATCCGTAAGTCGTCTAGATTTAATAAAATATTGAAATTTTAACTTTCCCAGGGGCGACTTAATTTTAAGTTGTCCAGAAAAAGTCAAATATCTGACACAATTCGGTCAAATGCAAAAGTAGCCCGTTTTACAGTCTGGTGTTTTTTTTTAACAAACAAAGCTGGACGACTTAGAAGTAAGTCGTTCATTTGACCAGAAGACTTATCTGTAAGTCTTCTACATCAAGATGACTTACGGATAAGTCTTCTACGCGAACAGATCTGGAAAAAAATCAATTTCATACCTTAAACTAGGTGAGATGACTTCCTTTGCATACAGAGTCTTCTCCAACCACCCAGAACATCAAACAAAAGTAACCCACCAACAATTGTATGCTTAAATGGCTCTATCAACCATAAAAAATTTGTTATCAAAAGCTTGGGTTTTTGGTATGAATATGGAGACAAAGTGAAGGAGATGTTGTTTTTAGTTCATAACAATTGAGAAAGAGAGTATGGGTATCGATTTTAAGTGCATTAAAAGCTTCAAACCTTGGTTGTACAAGGTTGTTGGGTTGTACAAGATTGTTGGGAGTATTCATGGCAATGGCAATGTTGTAAAAACTTGAAGATGATGAGGTTGAGAGAGTAAAAAGGCCATTTTCGAAAAAACATTTATGGCATTTTCGTAAATAAAATGAAGATATGGGGTGAATAGGACAAAAACAAGATGAGTTAAAAGAAGAAGTTAGTTTGTGTTTGACTTTGAGTTTTGAGTCAATTTTGCAAAAACCCCTTGTTTTAAAGTAATCTAAAATAAATGAAGATAATAATTTTAAAAGATATCTAAACTCTAAAACAAAATTGGTCCAATGGAATGTTGTTTTATAAAATAGTATGAAGATCAGAGATAATTTAAGGAATAATTTGTTTGCTTACCCTATTTGAATTTTATGTTAAACACTAAATAGAAAGGTAAATGCGAAAGTGTGATTTGTGATTTGACAAAACTACGAGAGAAATTGCTTAAACTACCAAAGTGTAAAAGTAATTTTTTTCCTTTCCTAATACATGTTTTCATGTTTAGTCTAACCAAATTTATTATTAGTTTTAAGCAATAAAAAATATCCTCATATATATTAATTGAGAAGTCACTTAAGTGATTTTTGTTGAAGTATTGCTCATATAAGAGGTCTCCAATTAACTGTTATACTTTGATTGGTTGATGATTTTTCTTTTTTATTTATTTAATGAAAGTTTTTAAAATGAAACTAATTCTATAACTACCTTTTAATCTATATTTCCAAACATACAATTAACATCTTAAATAAATTAACATAATTTATTTATAAAAATTAAAAATTATAGACTACATATATAAATTGATAATATGAATATAAATACTTATGATACTATATAAATAATTATAAAAATGGTTTTTAATATATTTATATTAGTAGTAAAGACAATAAATCATAGATTTCAAAAAACTAAAGATAAATTTGACTTATACAGAGAAATTATATATACAAACTTATATATTATTTTTATTTTATATATAATTAGTTATGTTTTAAAATAATTTAAAATAAATGAAAATAATACTGTTAAAAGATATCTAGAGTATGCTTAGTCTTATTATCCAATGAATTAGTGTTTGATAAAATAAGATGATGAACGGAGATAATTTAAGGAAGAATTTGTTTGCTTAACCCATTTGAGTTTAATGTTAAATAATAAATAAAAAATGAGTGAGAAAGTGTGATATGTGATTTTACAAAATTATGAAAGGAATTTCTTAAGCTATTATTTTCCTATTACATGTTTTTATGTTTACCTTTAATCAAATTTATCTTTAGTTTTAAGGACATGAATCCTGCTATATATTAATTGAGAAGTCACTTCAGTGACTTTTGTTATGTGTCGTTAATAGTCTAAATTTTTAAAAGTAGTTAAAATTTGATTCGTTATTAAATTTTATTAGTTATTTATTTTAATCAAATATAAAAATAAAAATAAACTCTATAAATAATTAATACAAATTACCAAATAATATAAGTGATATTACAAATAATAATTTATGGTAACTAATTGTAAAATTAGAGAAATAATATATATGTTTTATCAATTTCCTTATTTTTATCAATTATTTATATATAAATTTAATGGTCATATATTCTTATATAAAAAATTATATTTGTAGATAATTATTAGAACTTCTTATGTTTTTTAAGCTCACACAAAAACGGTTACGCAAGATTTTCATAATAAAAACTTATAATCATTATATTGGTCCTATTGGAGCTACACAAAAAGACTCTCTCTTTGAAAACTAGAGTATTTCCGGGTTTTCACATGTTAAAATAAAATATAAAATAATTCTACAACTAATTAACTGAATTAATTGTAATATTTCTTTATGTAAAAGATAGATTTTTAATGACTAAATTTTATGTTGTTAAACTATTTTAAATTTCACAGATCTTGTAAAAATATATACTGAAATTTCTAGTTATTCAGCTAAAATTTTAAAGTTTCTACTTATTATTCAAAAATTATAAAAATGTAAACATAATATATATATATATATATATATATATATATATATATATATATATATATATATATTTCTTCATATAATATAACTATCCGCGAAATTGCGGGCAAACACGTAGTATATATAAAAATTCATTTAAATAAAATTTAAATGAATGGTTCAAATAGAAAAATTACACATGAAATAAATCATGACTTCTCTTTTAATATAGTAAATTGAGAGATGCAGGATTCAGAGAGAGATAAAGAGAAGATAATATTGATAGAGTTTACAAATCTGTAACTCTAGAATCCAATGTACAGAACCGTAAGATATGATAACTTTAAGTAGGAAGACGTTTACACTCTCATGGCTGAGTATAAACACTTCATCGATCTACAACAATATTCAAGCATGAAACATGTTCTTCATTCTAGCTTTCTATTTATAGTGTCTTCTTCACTCTCAAGCTGCCACAAGAATCTAACTGCAAAGCTTCTTCAGCATTCAGAGTCTTTCATTTACTCTGTTTCTTGTCCACGTCAGCTTCTGCATAAGCCAAGTCCATGTAAAGATAGTTGATATTTATCAAATATCTTCAAGATGTAGCCATGATCATGAAGAAGCCTGTGAAGTACTTTGTGGTAATTGTTTTCTTTTTTCTTTTTCTTTTTGCTTTTTGAAAAGAGTTTCGGCTTCTCAAGATCCCTGAATTGTTTGCTAAAAAACAGGTTGATGCGTTCACTGAGTCAGACTTCAAGGGAAACCCAGCAGCAGTGTGTTTTTTTGAAGGACAGGTTGATGCATTCACTGAGTTTCACCTTCCCATGACTTGTTTTCTTACTCCCATCAACGGCTTTGACCCTCTAAATCCACCATGTTTTCTTGAACAATGTGCACTTCCCCTGACACTGGATGCTTCTCTTTCAAAGTAAGTATCACTGCTTTTAAGTGAGTGCTCATACAAACATCCACACCTGCATTATTGTATTCTGAACAAAGATGATGGCAGAAAAGGGGGAGTGAAACCAAAAACATTAACAGCAAAGCGACCAATTGTATATCCCTCAAGGAAACCAATCATGTAAGATGAGCCTAAAACAGATGCCATATATCTCGTTAATATACCTAATTTGGTTTATACATTGATCATGTTTCTTCTGTTGCTGGATCAGACTTCAAAGAAGAAGTAAATATTCTCATAAACCACGGGGTTTATCTAGCGTTATGCAGCTGACTAAAACAGTTCAATCAGTTCTTTCAACAAACAATGCATTTTTTTTTCTCAGTCAAAAATCAAGACTCAGCTTCGTTAGGTTCGTCACTAATAACAGAACAAACCTCCGGATTTGTAACTCCAATAAACCGAAACCAGCTTAAACTAATCTTATGCTAATCTCATTACAATGGGAATTGATATACATCTCACTAATAACAGAACAAACCTCCGGATTTCTAACTACCATCAGGATCACTGTGTAGAGTTTTTCAATAATTTGATGTGCTATGCAGTCTGCAGACTGTTATGGAATCACAATTTTTGTTGTTGTCACTTGATATGTCACACTAGACACTATTTTAATGAGAATTAGCAATATATGTTTTAATATTAAGTTACTGTTTAGTTACTAATTTGTTAATTGGTGACCAAGTAATAGATGGGAATAATCAATTCCTTATCATTTTTTTCGTATAAATATTAAATTTAGGGTTTATTTGCTTCCTAGCCATATATTAAACATAAATTAAGTAAATGGTAATGGTTTTCACATAATATAATGTCAGACTTTTGCACCACACTTTATTCGATTTTGTCCCTTCGTTTAACAAGTTGCCAGTTGTAAATACCTTTACAATTGAAAGAATACACAATGTTAGCTTTTTTTTGTTAGTTGTCACTGATTTATTTATCACATATATATTCATTATATGAAGTACAATGAGGTGATAAAAATATAATTAAAAAACGTGTATTCCATTTATTATACATAGTAACTCAAAAGATACACAAGTAAATGAACTGAAAATTTCAAAGTTTTATATTCCGTATAATCAAAATAGTATAAAACATCTATTTCATCTCAATTCTTATATAATAGTTTTTCTATTCTATGTAACGAAAATAATATAGGACACCAACTCCATCATAACATCTACTTAATAGTATATAAACAAACTAAGTAGCACAACACAAAACTAAATACTAATCACTAAATCCCAAATCCAAATGTAAACCCTAATCATTAAACTCTAAACCCAAATATACTAAACACTAAACCCTAATTACTAAATCCTAAACCCAAATATAAATCTGAAACCCAAATGTAAACCCTAAACCAAAATAGCAAATTCTGAAAATAGTACATAATCTATATGTAATAGTAAACTATCATATGTAATATTAAACTATATAATATAGTTCACACATTCTAATTAAATGTAAAATATAATTATTATAAATAGAATAATAGAAATTTGTATGAATTTTACACTTGTGTGGATGATGTATATTATTTCTATTCTATGTGTGTCAAGTAGAATAGAAAACAAACAGTACATTACAACGATAAATGTGTGTGCTAGGAGTGGACATGTCATTCGAGAGAGTAGATAACGTAGGCGATAGAATACATGGCTAGGAATATTTCACAGCTATACTATATAAAAGTTAAAAAGAGAGGACGTAAATTTCGTTGGACCACGAGTTACTTTTGATAAATAATTACTACTAAGAAGTTTAGTTTTTCATTTTTGTAGGTTTCCCGGTTACTTAGAAGGGGCAAAATAGAATTATTATATTAAATAAAAAGCATATATAGAAAGGCTAGGATATTTGGCTATTTATCAAACTATGTTTTTTTCTTTGTCATACATCCCAATTTCCATTAAATTCATTTATCAACAAAAGAAAAAGTGTTTACTAATACGGAAAGTGTTGAAACGCTTGCAAAGTCAAATAGCATACACTTAGAGCACTAATAACACGGTGGCTTAACGCGTAGCTTAAGGTTTTTTTTTATTTAAAAATAAATGATAATGGCATAATTAATGAAAAACCGTGGCTTAATTAGGGACAGAAGAAGCGTTGTTTATTGTACACGTGTTGGATGATGAGAAGAGAGAGTAGAGGTGGCTTTGGATTCTTCGTCTTCTTTCTTCATTCTGTCTCGTATCTCTCTCTCTCTCAGACGAAAGAAAGCGATATCTCTGTGTCTCCTCGGCGAATGGCTCTTCTTCACTCGGTGGCTGTCGTCGACCGCTGATTCTCTCCTTCTCCGTGGGTCTCTTCGACGCCGACGGAAGAATCTCATCGCATCGACAGGTAAAGAGGCATAGTTGTGTTCTTCTGAATGCATGTCTTAGATTATGGTTGGTCTTGTTCTGATGGCTACTTTGTTTTGTTTGTCGGTTCACTTCTGTCTCACGGCGGCTCTACTCGACGGCGACGGAGCTCTGTCTTGGTGGCTCTCTTCCAATCCAAAGGTAAAGGTTCTGGTTTCCGATCATGCATGTCTTCGATTGTGCTTGTTCTGCCTCTAGATTGATTTCTTTGTTGAGTTCGAGTCTGATTGTAAATGGATTTGATTGTAAATCGATTTGATTGTAAATCGATTTATTTGTTGTGTTATATTCAGTTTGATTTTGGTTTGACTAATTCGTTTTGTTTGTGTCTTTGTCGTGAGATGTATGGATCAAACGAAGAAGATGGAGTTGTTTTTAACAAAGAGACATGAAGGTGTTCATTCGTGTAAACAGGTTAGTTTTTAGATTTAGCTTCTATTACTCTTTCAGTGTTTCGTGATGAAGTAAACTGAAATCTAATAGCTTCTGTTAAATTTTATATTAGTTTTATGAAATGAACTGATTTAGATTTCGTTTTTAGAAATGATTTAGCTTTGGTTAATCATGAGTTGTTTGTGCTGAAGTAAACTGAAATGAATTAGTTTAGCTTATGTTAATTTAGTAAACTGAGCATGATTTAATCCCATTGAATGCGTTATTGTTGAGTTTGGTTGGTAATATATTGAATTCATTGTCTCTGTGGAAATGAAAAAGAAGTAGTTGAGTTAAATGACTTTGCACGGATAATAACTGAGCTTGCTTTGTGTTTAATTCCTTAAACAAGTGGTTGAGTGAAATGAATAAAATGAGTTAAACAAGTGGTTGAGTTAAATGAAAACAAGTGCTTGCTTTGTGTTAAATTCGAGGTAGATATGTGTCTGATCACCAATTTGGTTGTTGGTAGTTGGTTTTAGTGTTAATGCGAGTCTTCATTTTCTTCTTTAAAACTCTTCTTTTCTCTTCCAACTTAAACAGATTCCTATATGTTTTTCTGTCTTCTTTTAAACTCTTCTTTTCTCTTCTATCTTAAACAGATTTCTATATGTTTTATCTGTCTTCTTTGACTTAGAAAAATGGATTTTAATCCATATAGAGATTCTGGTAACTTTGTTGGCTTACTTACTAGTCAACAAAGTGTTGTGTTCGGTAACGTAGCAGATAGTGCTTCACAATCTCAATCGCAAGCTCCCCCCTTAGATGAAAACCCTGAAGCCATTCGTAAAGAAAGAAGAACATGGACCCAAACTGACGATATAGTACTCATCAGCGCGTGGTTAAACACAAGCAAAGATGCAATCGTCGGAAATGAACAAAAGTTTGTTGCCTTATGGGCTCGAGTTGCTGCGTATTTCAATGCTAGCCCTAAGCGTGCTGGGTGTGAGAAGGGAGAGCCACCTCACTGTAAGAATCGCTGGCACAAGATCAATGAGGTAGTTTGTAAGTTTTGTGGAGTTTATGCAGCTGCAAACAGAGAGATAACCAGTGGGAAAAATGAGAATGATGTTCTCGAAAAAGCCCACACGTACTATCTCGCAAACTACAAAAAAAAAAATCAACCTTGAGTATGCTTGGAGGGAGTTGCGTCATGACCAGAAGTGGAGTGAGCAGTCTTTGACTAAATCTGCATCCAAAAAGAGGAAGTGTGGGGAGAGTGAAGCTTCATCAAGCTCTCAATCTAACACTGATGTAGATGAGGAGGTAACCACTCGCCCCATGAGTGTTAAGGCTGCAAAAGCCCGAGGTAAGAAGCCGGTTGCGGAGGGGGATGCACTGAAACAGTTTCAGAATTTGTGGGAAATTAAAAAGGAGGAAATGTCTATGAAAGAAAGGGTGTCCAAAATAAGTCTGCTTGAGTCATTGATAGCAAGAAAAGAAGGTTTAGATGATGAAGAAGAGGCTCTGAAGAAAAAACTTATGAAAGAATTGTTCTAATGTTTAGATGTTTCTCTGTTTTAATTGTGTGGGAGTCGATTTCACCCTACTGTCAAATAAATCGCAAATAAGGAAACTTCGGGAAAACCCTAAGTTTCCAGAGGAACCGGCTATCTGCGAGAACCGCACAACAAAGATTAAGATGACGAAAACACTTAGAATTAAAACGAAAAATAAGCGAGATTGAAAGCAAGAAGTTTCTTATTCCAAATCTGCGTTGAACTGGTACAAAAAGAGTAGCCGAAAGCGTAAGAACTAGAAAACCCTAATTGAGACGCAGCTCGCTAACAGAAAAACGGAAAGATTCCTAAATGCTAGTTTTGGTGGTGAGAGCTCTGAATTTCGTGTGTCTGCTTCTGCCCTAGACCTCCTCTTTATATACTCCTCGCCTTGGCTATCCGATCTTTCCATTTCGCCCAGATTTGACTAAATCGGGAATTTTCCCTTATTCTCGATCCTTCCTTTTCTTCTGCGGAAATCTTCTATTTCTCTTCAAACCTTCCTTTTATCTTTAAACTTGACTTTTATTTTCCTTCTGCGAGTAAACCGTCAAAAACGTTGTCAAATCCGCAGGTTAGATTCCGTTAAAATCGCGAGATGGGTTTTCATCGCGTTTTAGGTCCTTTCAGGCCGTTTTGCGATAAAAACCGTTTTTCGACTT